CCTTTGGGTACCCTAGCATTCCTTCATGGGGAGGGGGCCGCCTCGTGGGCAAGACCCACGGGTGTTAGCGACAGCACTGAAGGGAATCTGGGAGCTGACTTGTGGGGCAGGAGAGTGTCCTTCAGCTGCACGGGGTCCACCCCCCACTGGATCCTCCAGCAACTGTTTTCAGTAAGAATGAGTGAAATTAAGAGAAGGAACTAAGAGAAGGAAGGATCAAGCAGACATTCAAACATGCTGTTTCTGCAGTGTTGTTATTCATGGTCAACTCTTGAAAAGGGTTATTATTAATCATGGTTAATCAGTTAAAGGCCATTCAGCCCCCAACCCAGCCCCAGCCAATTTAAAGCAGAGAACTCAGCAATCTGCTGTCTGCAGATCAAGCCTAAGGGCCGTCCCCAAAGCTGTGTGATATAGACAGGGCAAAGAGCTCCAGCAAGTGAGCCAAACTGCACACAATAAGCGCAGAGGAAATGCTGCCTGGGATCAGCAGGCAGGGAGGGCTTAATGGGACCCAGAATCCTTAATGGGATGCCTGACCGGGCGGCACTTCTGCCAGATCATGGCAAATCCCCAGAGTTGGATTTTTTTTTAAAGTATTCCTATCATTTTACTTGCTAACGTACATAGAAAAAGAAGGGAAAAAAGATCTAAAGAGAGGCCTCTAAAATGCATCACAATGCACATAATAAAATACAATCGCTTCAGAAAATGTCTCTCTTCCTGAACAGCAGATTAAACCTTGGCCACACGGAGTGACGTGGATCCACCTTTCCTCCGCAGCTATAAAGGGCCATTTCAAGGGCTGAAGGAGAACCCGTTCCTTCGGTTCAGGACCTTACGCCTGGGGTTGCCGTTTCCTCCCAGCCCCACATTTTTATCCTTTTGCTGCATTTCAAGCCTGATGCAGTTCCTCGTAGTTTGTCGGATCCCAAACTTTTGGGGCATGACATGGCCTCACCTTCCCACCTTCCGGCCTCAGATCTCTTCAAAGCACCACATGGTATCAGTAAGCAGGCAGCTATGACACCAAGAGGCAGCCAAATATGCATCTCAAAACTCCTTCAGATGTATTACATCCCCAGCATAAAAATCTGACCGGCATGTTCATTTTTGAACATCTGCTGCAGCCTCCAATCAACATTAAAAAAATTGTTGAGGAATTAATCTCCTTTTATGGTCGTAAAGCAGCTCCCTGAAGACCAGGGTTTGAAGGGCTGCCACAAGAACTGGGGGCCAGCAGCAGCATATTCTGCCCAAGCCCTGGTTTAAAGTCGGCTTCAGGAGAGATTCACTGAAACCCGGGCTGGTCTTGAACATGTGAAGTGAGCCTCTGGGTGTCCGGCAGCCATTGCTGGCTGGCAGAGCACATCTCCCTCCCAGAATAAGGCTGGGGGGAGCTTCCACGTTGACCCCAAGCCTCCGTCCAGCCTCACTGCTTTTCCTTCCTAAGAGGAGTGGATGGGGGGGACAGGTAGGAGCAGAGGTATTACCCACCTAAATTATTCACCCTCACATTTATCTCTTAAAATGATGTTTTTCAGCCTTGACAACTTTAAAACATGTGGACTTCAACTCTCAGAAGTCCCCAGCCAGCCATGTTCGCTGGGGAATTCTGGGAGTTGAAGTCCACAGACCTTAAAGTCGCCAAGGTTGAGAAATGCTGTCCTAAAGGATTGCTTTTATGCTGACATGTTCCTACGATTTTGCAACCCCCTTTGGGAGAGTTTACTGTGAAAGGGGGGACAGAAATGCTTGTAAGAAATAATACAATCAAGATTTATTGATAGCAGAAGAAGTTGCTAAATGTAGGGAAATCCCAGTTTCCTTTTGCCAGCAAAGCTGGAGAAGCATTTCCTTTCTGCAGAGGTGTCCACATGTTGGGGGAACTTAAAACATGCAGGCATTTGGTGGCTGCTGGGCGGGGGTTGGAGAGAAAAGTTTATGCTGCAGCCTTTGGGGAGGGGGTTAGCTAACTCCTGTCTGGGGCTTTTTGCAGCTCTTCAGAGAGGTGAGGATCATGAAGGGATTGAACCACCCCAACATCGGTAAGAAGCAGAAGGCTGGGAGCCGCAGTGGGATGTCCCCAACTCCCCCCACCCCACCCGAGCAAGCCTTGCTCTTCCGCAGCTGAGGGGGGTAGGCGATGCTGGGGGCAAAGTGGGGCCTCTGTACCGAGCATCTTCTGATTCAGCCTGCTGGAGAGAAGATGGGGGGCTCCGGGGACATCAGGCTGGCAAAAGCTGCCTAGATAGAGAGTCCCCCCTAGCAAATGAACAGAATCTGGGAGGGGGCAGACATTTTGGGAATGGGGGTGCCGTGGGGATGCCCACGCAGGCCTTTGCTCTCTTCCGAGAAGGAAAGGCTGCAGAACAGCCCGTGCTTCATCTGCGTACCCTCACTCTGGTGCAGATGGCCGTTTGCCTTCGTGTGGCACAGGATTTTAATCCTCCTGGTTTTACCCAGAGCACCATTTCTCACTTGTGTTTACCCCAAACATGGAGATGGTGACAGCATTGAAACAACCACATAAAAATAAAATATCCCACCCTTAAAAAGAAACCTGTGAGATTCGCAGTGGTGACGGTTGGGGCAGCCGTAACGAAGCTGCCCAGGTAGAAAAGCCTTTGTGGAAGAGGGTGACTTTGCTTCTGTGCCTTTGCGCAGTGAAACTCTTTGAGGTGATCGAGACAGAGAAGACCCTCTACCTGGTGATGGAGTATGCCAGTGCCGGTAAGCCTCATGTGCCTTCCCTGCCTTTCCCGGGCGCCCAGTGCCTCCCAGCTCTGCCCGCTTTCGTCTCCTCCGGAGTCTCTCAGATCCATATCCGTTTGCGAACAGCTCCAGGGGGGCCAGGTTTAGGGTGATCACCCCAGAAGCAGACCCCCAGCAATAGAGGGCAGGCACCACGGCGAAGGACTTACGAGCCCGCATTGCCTGCTGCCTAAGGCGGGTGGGGCTCTCCCTTTGCCACAGCTTTGACTCTCCTGGCACTGCTAAAATTATCCCCCAGTCAATTCAAAATATCTCCAGCCCTCCACCCCCACAGAAGCTGCCTACCTGGCAGCTGGGCCACTTGCTGGATGAGGCAGACATTGAAAGCTGGGGGGGGGGGTTCCTGCTTTCCCCCTCTGGACTGCAGAGAGGTTGGGGAAAGTCTGTCACCTGGACTGGTTTCCACAGTGCTACAGAGCTCTGAGTGGGAAGCGCGCCTGTCCCAGTGCGCATTTCCTCATGCTACATCCGCATCTGACCAACCCCGTTTTGTGCTGATGAGCTCAGGAATTTTCCAGCCCTCTGGTGCCAGTTGGCACATGCACCCCCCACTCCTTGGGAAGGTCATCCCTGCAAATCCCCATGAATCATCTGCCTCGGTGGGGCTTGCGTGGCGGACCTTTGGGGGCCCAGGCCCCAATGCTCTGCGGC